TGTGTGTGTGTGTGTGTGTGTAAAAAGTGCTGAGTGCCTGAGTAGAGTCAGATTAGATTTGCCTGCAGGGCGGAGCTGAGCGATGGGATAATCCTGTGGTTGTTCTGGCCTCGTCTCGGTGAAGATGACCTTCATCAGACGAGACGCTGAACAGGTTCCACTGAGCAACAGGCTGAAACTACTGTCACCATGAACGATGGAGTTTCACATGAATGATAAAGAACGCAGTCTTTCTTTACTCACTGAAGTCAATTTCCTCATCTTTTTTATCAAAGAGATTAAACATTATCCAAAACTCACTCTTAACATGGAAAAGGACAAACTACATTATGTTTTAATATCAGAATACTGCTCAAAGAAATCTATAATAGTCCTTTAGATCAACACAATAAAACTACATTACCCAAAAGTCTGCTGGGCTCACAGATTTTCTCCGTGGCAGAAGTTATGAAAGAGAGTTAAGTTAAATTAAAGTTCTCATAGTGAAGAAGGATGAATCAATTTAAATGAAGTGCTTAGTAAATGAGTCTTGTGTTATAATATTTTACCATATTCCTGATCTTATCAAAGAAAAGTATTTTATGTGAATATATTAAATTTACAATGACAACAGAAACATATTAAACAATAGAATGTGTTTCTAATGTTGATGTCTGGATGAGAAATGAAGAATAAAACAAAGTGGAAAAAATAAAGAGCAAAATGATGCAGAAGAGCTGAGTTGACATTAAGCTGCTGTCAGGTTTGAAACTGATTCAGTAGAATACGTTTATTCTCTAATGCACGCAGGAGAAAAGCAGCTTGTGCCTAATCTGTAATTCTTCACAGGAGCCGTCTGTCACGTTCACTTTCTAAGAACTGAGGAGCAAACAAGAGGTTAAATAAACATCTGAGGTTAGTTTGGTTCAGACTCAGTTAAGAGGCTTGAACTCACAGACCCAGTGAACGGAGACTGAGTCTGAGGCTGGTGACGACAACAAGAAAAACCAGACACTCATTTATTTAACTCAACGTTCATGTGTTGATGTTGACGCGTCTGCACACCTTCACCTTTACAAACTGCTGCTGCACAAAAGAACCAAGTCACAAACTGACCTTCCCCACACTCACCTCTATTGTTTTAACCTGCCTGTCTGTCTCTGTGTCTGTCTGTCTGTCTGTCTCTCTGCCTGTCTGTTTGTCTGTCTGTCTGTCTGCCTGTCTGTCAGTTAGTCAGTCTGTGTGTCTGTCTCTCAGTCTGCCTCTCTGTCTGTCTGTCTGTCTGCCTTCTTTCACCAGTATTCTGATATTAAAACATCATGTATGTAAATCACTTAGTCTGTGATAAACACGTGTTGCTCTGAGCGGTCCAGGTCGCAGTGGCCCTGCATTCCTGGGGGCCCCTTTCACTCTCAGATAATTACTGCTGCATTGTGGGAGAGGAGGAAGTGCCAGAAAGGACAAACAAAAGCAAATTAGCGGATGCAAATGGTCGCTTGAGCGAAAGCGCTCAGTCTATGGTTTCAATAGGCTTGTGCAATAACAGTTGGCTGGAATCCAAACCTTGTTTACCAAAAAAAGGACGAGAAAAATGATCCATTCATTCTTTATTTGGACATTTTGATTGTCTTCTTCTTCAGACTGTTATAACAAGGCTTCTGACGTGTTCTCTTCCCGAGTCATAACCTCAGATACACGACTCATCATTTATAATAATATACTTAAATTAAATCATTTTACTGGACGAGGTTCAGTGAAAAGAGGCTCCGTCTGTTTTTATTGGTCATACACCAAAACTGTCTGTAACTGTCTGTACTTGTCTGTAACTGTCTGTCTGTACCTGTCTGTACCTGTCTGTA